GTTTAATACTGACTTCGCCTAAAGTTAACGCGAAAAACGTACACAGTCCATAGATATGTTCTTTCGTCACTTTTCATCGGCCTTATATATCAAAATGATTAACGAACTCTCGTGTTCACTTATGGTGGGGGAAAAAAATCTTTTGAAATGTCTCTTCCATACTCCTCCGGAAAATGCTACTGAAAAAGTTGTAAATCCGCCTACGGAAAAAAACTGTTGTTTCTAACTAAATACTGGAGTACGGGAAAAGGCATATAACGTTCCGGCGAGTTACTAACAAAAAGGCATTTTATGGTACAGTTACAGAAAAGAAATAGGATAGCGCTTGGATGCAAGGATTCAGTGCAACTATCCTTCTGTTTGTACAATAACAGATTTAATGTAGGTCCAGAGCCGGAATTACGACAAATTTAACCTAGGGAATTTTGGTTGCACATGCCGTTTTCAGATAGTGGCACTCCACCACGAGTCATTTTAATAGCCCACTGCATACCAGCTGTTTTTTGTTTTAATCTAGATAAAGATAAAGATCTAGATCGTTCCAGTACTATTGGCCCGACTGTCGAGGGAACGCAATGCCCAAGGTCGTGGTTCAGCCCCTCAAGTCGATTTAGAAATGAAGATCCATTGAGAGATCAATGCGAATCCGAATATATACCTGGGTCAGTCCGATTCCGTAGACCCGACTATCGTGGGAGCCAAACTGGTATCGCGATAAATTTTCGTAAATGAAAATTTTGATTAAGCCCGGGATTACTTCAGTAAGAGAGTATAATTTCTAAAGTTGTCATTTTTATTTTTTCAATCTTCATTCACTTAAAAGAAAAATATTAACTTTAATTTGCTTAGCCGCCAATACCAAGTCGATAGCAGTCAGTCAACGAAAACGACAACCACCTACATATTACGATTTTTAAAAGTTTACATATATTTTCTTTCAATTATTTTGACCACAAAAGAATCCAAAGATTGAGTAGATAAATGACCAATTAGTTTTTGAAACACATAGTTCAATACATACATATAAAATTACCACAAATAAAACGAAGATAAATACTCGATAAAGGCCTCTTAAAATTGTAAGTTATCATAGTTTTTAAATTCGCTTTTATTAGCGAATTGTGCTTTACACTTTGTACACTTAGCACAGTTTAAATTATATTTATGTGACAACCGAAAAACGTTATAAGGATAAAGTAATCATCTAAAATTTGGTATAAAAGATAATTATTGCTTTTGTGAGCTTTTCATAAATAAATAAGCTAAATAAAATTTTGTTGCTAATATTTTTGCAAACTGGAACTGCTTTAAACTTTTACTAATTCAATAATTTTGATAAATAGCTGAATATATAAAAAAAATTAAATTTAAACAGTAATACATAGGAAATCAGTAATTACATGCACACACGTAATCACATATGTAAATGTGCTTATTTTGTACGTTTGTTAGCTTGTGATCTTAAAATTTGTTCAGTTATCTTACTCTTATAGTAAAAATAAACGCCTGCGATTGCAAAAACACTACATTATCTTAGCAAAGATATATCCATACATGCAATTATACAAGTATACATACCAGTGAACATTATAAATATATTAATTAATGTAATAGATTATGAATGACACAAAAAATTTTTTCCAAAATAAATATTAAAAAAGCATAATAATTGAAACATTTTTAGTTCTACTTATGCTGATGAACTAAATATTCGAACGAAATTCGCAACATCGCAAAAAAAGATTAGAGGTTTTTTTGCCTTCCTTTTATGAACTCGGGATGTAACTATGTAATATAGATGCGCCTAAAAGATGCAGCGATTTTTATTCTTAAGTTACATACCTGATGACAGTACGAATGACAATTATAATAGGGAGGTTTTAGTTTTTTAAACTATAATTTTATTATTTTGACAGATGCTTATTCCTGCATATATGTATTAACATATAAACATGAGTAACAAAGGAAGTTACCGTAAATACTACGCGAAGTTGCTTACTTTAAAACAAATTATTTGTATACATATAACAAAGTTTTTCAAAAAATATTCGATAATGCGTCCTACACATCCAAAATATTGCTGCTTTCCCCAAGACCCATTACCCAGCTCATTTACAACTTCAACTTTATGTTTTCCGTAGTCCAACGCTTTGTTTGTAAACTTTTTAGCGCCTTTTCACAGTAAATTTGCTCTTCTGATCGCTGCGGTAATGTGTCCTTAAGTTGGGTTAACTGATTTACATCCTTCATGCCTGTCAGGGCATCAATTACCGCACGCACACACTTAACGCGCTGGGCAAGCTCTAATTTTTCTGTTGTGTTGCTCATTTTTGTTAAAAACATATATAATACGCTTGTGGGTGCTTGCAGTGAGTAAAGTCGTAAAATCGCCAGTTCCAATGAAAAACTTATATGAAATTGTTTTGTCTTCATGGGATTCCAAGCGGAAATACGTTCGAATACACTTTCTAGATCAGCGTAGGCTTGTGCATTGGCACGCTCATTCAAGGCAGTCCATTCCAATTGAGCCGGTGAAATTTGTAGATCCGCACTTAGCCGAAACGGTGATACGGTTCGAGTCATATCCTGTTCTTTCCAGTTGTTGTGCTTGCGGCAACATTGGTAAAGTACTTCAATAGGCGTGGAGTGCATATCTACTAGATTATCAAGCACATTGCATTCTTTCTCTACAAACTCCAACAATTTCAATGCTGCTTGAAATTGTTGTAAATATACACTGACCATATTCTTATCACCACTGTACTGGTCGAGTAGCTGTTGCAACTTCCTTTTTCGGTGCACCAGATCTTTGCAAGACATTGCCGCTTTGAATTGTAGGAGCGCTGCATCTTGGTGTTTGCCAAAGTGTTGTAGAACTTCTGCAGCTTCAGAACTTTGACGCTGCTGCAAGTAGCTTACATAGTATTGTAAAGCCTGCGGTCTTTGCTCGAGAATTTTGAGAAAGTTTAAACGATTTAACGTTTTTTTGAGGAATAATAGCACGCCAATGACCGCATCGCCACCTCCACACTTCAGCACTGCGTCGAGAAGTTGTTCTTTTTCGTGCAGCGATTTGAACACTTCCAACGGTGCATTCTTGCCAAGCAATAGTTTGTGTGCCGTTGCTTCGGGTGACGGATTGTAAAACGTAGTTTGAATTTGTCTACGTAGCAAACGTAACTCCTCTTCTGGCGCAACGCCTTTCGATACAATGCGGTCATCAAGGGTTTGCTCCTGCAGCAATTTCTTTAGTGTATCCTCTGATATCACAGACTTTATGGACAGGTTGAGAGCACTACCCGTGACACTGTTATCAAAGCTTGCCTCGGAGATAGTGTCGTAATCGTTGAGTATGTTGCTTACATTCATATTACTGCCAGAAGCAGATGCACATAATGAACTTTCGTCGTCATCAAAGCTGAATCCTCTGCTAGCCGAACGATTCCAGTAACTTTCGCTATCAAATTGGTCCATTTTTGCAAGAGTTGTCAGTTTTGTTTTTAAATAAGAAAAATTCTTTTTAAGATCAGCTGCAAGGCGCATCCATACAAGGCGGTGGCAATTTGAGGTGGGTAACTCAACTCAGAGTTGAGTTATTGAGTTGATTCCTATAAGTGAATCGGTAACTCAGACTCCCTGTCCAAAAAAAATGTAACTCAGTAACTCAGTTGATGCCGTAGGGCTCACATGATTCAATTGAATCATAGTGGCTCATATTTGTCCATATAACTCTCTCGCTTCGCCACAGTGTTTAGCATGGCAAAGTCTTGCATTTTGTTTTTGCACGAGGCGAATTTATACAAGGTGGTGGCAAGAATACAACAACAATAACAACATGTATTTTGTATTGCGGGTGTTATGTCAAATCTCACAAATTCTTATAATTTCGTTTTTTTTTAGTTTTTCTCGAAATATGTATGTATGTAAGATATATAAAGATGTGCATATCAAATCAATTGCCTTTCCAACCATATCCACATTTTGAAATTCGGTACAATAGGTTTCGAAATATAAGCTTTTGAAAATACTGAAAATTCCACCTTTACCCTCCCCCTAGCACCGCCCTATTAATTTGCACACAAAAAAAATTACACCTTTCAAATCAGTAGAAAGGAGCTGACCACGCCCACTTTAAAGTTTTGTTTTATCTCAACGGCCGCTATACCGCATCTATGCCTCAAAACGAGTCTACGATACGAATGAGTGTAACATACAAAGAGTCAAATGAGTTAGTTGAATGAACTGACTCATTAAAGGGAGTTGGAGTCATTGAGTCACTCCTATAAATTTGCTGAGTTACCCACCCTTAGTGGCAATTGCATATAAGTAAAAGTCCCGTGTATTTTGTTATTGCTTTTTGGTACATCAGTATGTTGATGCGCCTTGATCAGCTGTATTCTGACATTCAGTTGATTGTTTACGAATAAATGAGTAAAAGCATAAAGAGATATCATCAGGGTTGCATTAGAGTTTGAAATATACGGGGTGTTCCAGAAGTGAATAGTGGGGCTTGCGGCATCCAACCTCTTAGTATAAATAATGATAAAAAATACGAAGGTAGAACTGCTGACAAATTTTTCAAATTATTGACGTTTGCAAGCAATTTAATTTTAAACACAAACTCACACACACATTCTCATTTTCAATCTCAACAAAAAACTTTGAACAATTGCTTTCTTAACTCTCAATTTTATATGATTTTAAAATGTTGGCAAACTTAAAAAAAAAAAAAATCATGGGGAAAATTTTCCAAAACGAATCCAGGCTTTGGAAAAAAAGATATTGGCGAGTATAGAGGAGCCACCCTCCGGAGGCTTATAGTTTTTAAGTAATTCGCATTTAAAGTTGCAAAAAATACCGAATTCAACATCACTTGTTATAATAAAAAGCGCCGTACGAGAAAATTTTTTATAAAAAATTGCGCGATTTTTAAATAAAACTTTTAATTTTTTATCGAAGTATCGATTTAAAAATAAAAAGCGCCGCAGACGAAAATATTTAATAAAAAAATCGGGAGGTTTTTACTTAAAATTGCTCATTATTTATCGAAGTATCGACCAAAAAATGAAAAAAAAAACACAAAACGGAAACAATGAAAGAATGCACATAATGGCTGCATTTCTTTATTCATTCTGAACGTTTGGACTAAACTTTTTTGTTTACTTATTCTTTAGAATGTTCCTGATGATATGTTAAAGTATATTTCAAACGTATTCTGTTTGTTCCGGCTGTGAAATGGGATTATCCGGAATGTATAAAGAAACGCAGCCAATGTTGCGCGATATTTTATTAAAAATTGTAATTATTTATAGCGCGATTTATCGAAGTATCGATGTTATAATAAAACGCGCCGCAGCCGAAAATTTTTAATAAAAAATCGCGCGATTTTATATTAAAAAGCGCCGCAGGGGAAGATTTTTAATAAAAAATCGCGTGATTTTTAATTAAAAATTTTCATTACTTAAAGAAGTAAAATAAAAAGCGCCGCAGCATACGAATACGAAGTATCTAATATTTTCAAATAAAAAATTATACTTTTCGTTCAACATTGATGGCAAAAACTGAAAATGGGGTAAGTCCCCCTACCCTAGAGGCACCAAAAAGATGTAAGCGAATTTTTTTTTTACTTTTTAATTTGGAGGCAGAAATGCATCTAGCTGCTCTAGGAACGGTTAGGGCTCATATGTGAAAATTACGTGATTGACGGAAAATCTAACTCGCGCCCGCTCACGCACGATCACGGAAGTTACTTGTTTTTTCTCTCCAAACCACTCACGCTCATGCGTGAAAAAGCGTGTCACAACGTGTCACACATGTTTTTCCCTAGTACAAACCACATCTTTTTCGTTTACCCTTTTTTTAATATAACGGTTCCGGTAAAGCTCGTACAAATATAAATACATATATACATATGTACACAGTGAAAACTTGTACTGTACTCCGGAAAAATATGCTACTAAGGGGCAATTGTTCATAGAGCTAATTATTGATTACCTTAAAATTTTAATTGCAATCAAAATAAGTTTTTTTTTTGAGTAAGTTTATTTGATTTTAGCTCACTTTATACAAAATTTTGCGTTTTTTTTACATAAAATTGCTTAAGCTCAGTTATGTACCTACAAGTGTAGGTA